ATACGTTCTTGCTTCAAATAGCTAGTGACTACATCAGTCTTATGTGAGGAGGCATTGTCATAATGTAATATGACATTTCTTACACTTTGTCGTTTCCTTTTTTTTTTTAAATCTATCAAAAACTTTGGGTAATACATTATTAGCATAGAGCTTAGAGTTAATAGTAGTATCTTTTTTACAACCTTATAGGCCACAGGGCCATCCACAGAAAAAAAAAATGCAATATATACACTTTTTGCTAAATCGGGCGATCTGAACTACTTGTGGCCGGTTTTTTCTCTTTTTGACCTATTGTTTATTACTTTCTTTATTAGAAATAGTAAAAAAATGGATTCAGGTTTCATCACCTATAATTACATTTTTACAGCCATTCTTTAACAATTTTAAAAGCTTTTAAAAAATTTTAATACAGGCTTTTTTGTTTTTTTTCAGTTAGAACATGTGGTATCCATTTTGCACACAAATTGCTCATACTTAATTCTTTAGTAAAAATATAGTTAATTCGTGTTTGAGAAATACCAACAAGATCAGCCAACTTCCTGGTAGTTGCATGAGGGTTCTTAATTACCATTTTTTTAACTTTAACAATGGTTTGAGAGATGGTTGTTTGGCGGGAATGTCCAGAACAAGGTTTGTTTTCAATGGCTTCATTTCTGTTATTGAATGCTAAAACCCAGTGTTTAATTGTATATCTTGATAGAGCATAGCTTCCTTCAGCAGCACCCAACTTAGCATGGATCTCAGATGTATCTATACTATTCTTTCAGCAAATATAAGTATAGTAATGCTGGTTTTGGTGGCTCATTTTCTTGCAATTGTTTTTAAATAAAATTTTAAAAAAAAAATTCTCACTAATTTTTATATTAATGAAGATCTTTTTTTTTTATAGATTGATTATATTACATATTACTTAAATTATATAATTTTTTTTGGCTAAGCCTTGATCGATATGCAGATATGACCCCTGTGACAAAACTTATGACTCAACCCGAAAAAGAACTACTTGTACACAAAATAAAAGAGTGTAAGTTTCTTTTGCTAAAATCATACATAGTAATAAGTCTTTTTGGTAAGTAATAAACTCTAAACTTGTCAGTAAATAGCATATAAGAACTATCTCTAGATGACAAATATAGTCAACTCCTGCTATAGTCACACTGTCTGGCAGAAACTTGATGTGACTATAGTGAGAGAAACATAATAATAGTCATATCATGTAATTATAGCGAGAGTTAATTTTATATTATTTTAAATGATTGGTATATAGTCTCAAGAAAATGTGACTATTTCGGGTATGACTATAGTGGGAGTTGACTGTACTATGCCTGTTGCAACAGTAAGTAATAAACTCTAAAAAAATTAGCAAATAGTATATGAAAACTATTTTTAAACAATAGTTGTTGTTCTAAGGTTTCTCTTCTCATATCTTATAGTTTAATATGATTATTTGTATTTTTTCCCAGCAAAAAGTTTTTTGGAAATTTTTTGATAAAAATGATTGTTGGAAAAAGTTTTTTGAATATATTAAATAAACTATACTTTATATAAAATAGTAAAGCTATATATAAATAATATACTAATAACAAGATATAATTTTTGTAGTATAAATAAAGTCATAACTATTTAGAAAAAAATATTTAAAAGATAATAAGTTATAAAATATTTCACAGGATATTGATAATAAAACTATTAAAGAAAGATTTAAAGGTATCTATATTTGTGCAATACTTGACACATTGGAACAATTTTAATATACTAAAATACTTATTAATTCTTACTTCAATATTTCTTTCTAATTTTATTTTTATAAAAATAAAATAAACCAAAATTTATTAAACATACTTGCTTTTAATTATATTTATTTATTATTGCTTTTTATTTTTACTTTTTTTAATAAAACAATGAATTCAAAATATAGATAAGATTTTTTAAATCATGTATATTTTAACTTTTTAATTTAGATCTGTGGATCGATAGCATAACAGTTATGCTCTCAGGTTGCAAATTGCAAAGTTACTAGTTCAACTCTTTCCAGTGATTAAATAATGAAAAACCAAATATAGAAATGAAACACTGTGGGGTACAGAGAACCTGGGATATCTACAGATAGACATATTCAGGGAATAATTATTCTGAGAAGCTGTGGCTGTGAAGCAAGACATGCTAAAACCCAATTTGGAATAACCAAAGTTACAAGATGTAATGCAAGACCTAAGTCTGAATAAAGATGCTACATGAACTTGTGGTGGCACCCAGTTGGTGGATGAAATCTCTATCATCTATGAAGTAATCCGACATCTCTGGAAGTTGGTGCAGTGGTCAAATTTGGATTCTCAATAGAGGGTCAGAGGTCTGTACTTGGTCTCATGCAAAAAGCATTTAAGTAACTGCCCTTCAGGGTTGGTATATAATAGTGGGGGCCAAGAGTTAGGGCAAGATTTGCCAAAGGAAAAAAAAAAACTCTAATTTAATACTAAAATTATTTATTTGTGATCTTCCAACTTTAATTCTACATATTAATAAATAGTCTTTATAGCCACAGGCTGAATAAATACGAATAAACTGATTTGAAGAATATTATATTCTTAGTTAATTTTTTTTTACTCAAATTTTGTCTATTATTTTAAGGATTGGACCCGTATCCGGGTTACCCGCGGGTAGGTCGTGTAACTGGGTAAAGATTCTGCTACCCGGGTAAAAACAGGTAACCAATCAAATGAAAATATTTTCTATATTTCGTCCATTCATGTACTGCCTCAACCAATCAAATCTTAGATTATGCTTTACCCGGGTACTTACCCGGATAGGTTAGTAATTAACCGACAGGTAACCCGGATTTTTTTAAACGGGTCCAATCCCTATTATTTACTAAAATTTTATCATAATATACTTTAAAGAAACTTCTTTTTACATATTTGCTAAATTAATCAATCCGATATTGTTGAAATCACGGGACCGAAGATTTTTTGACTAATCTGAGGTCTTTCCTATATGAGAGATTTATGAATTAGAATAAAAATCCATTAAAACATTAATGTATCATTTCATCTTACATCACAAGTGATCTGTGATCTACTTAAAAATCAATTAAAAATATATCTTTAAATCAACTTTATTAAAAATATAAATTATATAATACTGTATCCTTTTTTTCATATCGTTCTAAAAATTTTTATTTTATAAATTTAAATAAAAAAAATAAAATAAAATAAAAAATAAAAATAAACTATAGTTATTTTTCATGTTATCCAAAGTCGCCAAACCACATCGGGTATTTTCCACAACTTCAAATTTGCATTTTAGTTTACCATTTATAAATTATCGATATAATCCATATGTTTTTTTAAAATGTAGGCAGCACGATGGGAACCTTCTTCTATTGTTAACACACACTTTCCTAACGATGCATTCATTAATGAAAACGGAGAAGCAATTGGAAGAGGATGGTATGAATCAAGTTTACAACTTGGACGTATTGTAATTGGTAAAGGATTGATCATAGGATATGGTGGTAAAGAGATAATTCTTGAGAATTATGAAATACTTTGTGGTAATGATGAATATTTCCAGTGGATAAAACGGTAAATAATTTCATAAATTCTAGAATAATCAAAAAAAAAATCATTTTACCGAATTAATAAGTTATTGACGTAAATAAACTTATTTATTCGGCCGAATGATAATCGACTGTTGCCTCAGTAAAGATTTATGAAAATAGTTATTACGAAATTTATATTGTTACTAGAACATTCTTTTAATTAATTTGGAGATTTTCAAGATTCGAGTAACAAGTATAATGATAACGGAGTTATTCTACCGTAATGTAATCTTAATATTCTTGTTTTTTTTTATTAGTCATGGACCTTATAAACCAGCTTTGTTCATTGTACCTCTTGAAGCAGGTCATGAATCGGTAAGTTATACATAATAACTTGCGAGAAAATTTTAGTAATATATTACTAAATATATTTTTGATAGGATCAACGAGAACTATACGTGGCAAGAACGCTGCATAACGGGCGTTATATTTATGGAAAAGCTGGTTGGGTAAGTCAATCAAAAAATTTTCTACAGTATATAATTCTTTTTATGTTAACTTTTTTTTTTCTTTAGCATTTGAAGCAAGGAATGAGTTATGCTATTGACAAGCGAGAGTTTAGTGCAAAAGATTACGAAATTTTAACCATTAGCAAATGAAGTAAATATAATGATTGACGCCTATTTTGTGTTATAAAACATGTCATTTAACGTTAATATTGTAATAATCAATAATTTCGGAATACTGCGTATATATTATAGAATTCTATGTATACGTACTACTAAAATAAGAAAAAAATGTTTGTGATTGGTACATATGTACTTATCTGCAAGAGTGAAAGATCATTAACATCAAATAAATCGGAATAAAAATTACGGAAATTATCATTATGTATCATTGATGTAGTACGTAATAGCCGAAATTAAAACTTTAGAAAAATAGTAACAAAAACAATTGACAAATTGGTACTGAGTGTGATTGACGTGAGTGACGCTAAATTTTGTAGACCAAAAATAGTGATAACTTTAATGAAGTGAGTTTTCCTCATGCTGCTACCAACTACCAGCTACCAAGCATACCAAGCAAAGTATGCCGTGTATCCCGAGTGTCGCTTTAGATGGGTTGTAAAAATTCTATAATAGGAGTTTTTATGACGTTTCTGTATTTAAAGTGTAGGTGGAAAAATGTAGTTGCAGCTAAGGTAGTAATCATTTAATACCTAGCGCTAATACATTATTATATATATATATAGTTATGTACAGTAATATCGGGAAATATTCTCCGTTGATCGAGTTGTGTGGCACAGTTTAACGTTATAAATACTTAAGGCCTCAAAAAATGTGTCCACCAAAAAATAATTCAGACAAACATCATATTATCGGCATTATCAAAAATATTATCATACATTTATATTATTCATTACTTCGCCCAACTTCTCACATTTATAATTTACAATTTTACAATGGACGATTTGACTTTCTTTGATAGTCTTGAAACAAGTTATATTGACGTGCCTATAACTGAAGATGGTATAGATACGATTACGTTTTTAAATGCTACTCATGAGTTGGTCAGATTAATTGGTGTGTAAATTTTCTGTCATCTAAATTTATTTTTTATAGAATATTAATTAGATACTTTTTCAGATATAATTGGACCTGAAGTTTTTGAAGTTCTTCGAAGTGAAATGAACGGTAACATCAAGGTAAGAATTACTTATAAATTCAAGATTTCATATTTTCATATATTTTGTTTCTTACAACATTACTGTATATATATTATGTAGCATATTAGGGAACGATACGAACATAATATATCGAAAAACTTAACCCTTGAAAAATTAATTAAACACGATGAATCAGAACATAAAAAAAAATATATTCATATTTTAATGTCACTAATAAGGTAAATTGTTTGGAGATATATACTTATAGCTGATATTTTTAAGTTTCATTTTTACTAAAATAATTTTTCTGCCTACCAGAGAAATTGAATTTTTTGCCATTGGTTTACGTAGATCAATAGATGATCCTTCTGAAGAACTTGCAGTGTCTTTTATGGAATCATATAGAAAGACTTTGGAGCACTATCATAGTATCATAATTAGACCCATATTTAAGGTAAGTTATTTAACTTGATAATAAGTTAATAAATTTTTACTAGCTCATCTAATTTCAATTTCAAATTATAATAGATTGCGATAAAAGCATGTCCGTATCGTCATGAATTTTTCAAAAAACTTGGTGATAACCAAGAAAAAGTTTGCCAACAATATGAAAGTTGGTTGTCTTCCGTTGAAGGAATCATTAAGAGACTACATGCGCTTCCTGAATTTCATTAATAACTCTTGTGAAAATATTTATAATTTTAATAAAATATTTTAGAACTACAAACGGGGTTGATAATTAGAAAAAAATACATATGAATGATACCAAATTAAAACTAGTAGCTGATCATAATAAAATTTTCGGGTTTTGATTCGCAGCACTCAGAACGCGCATAATTTATTACAATTATTTTGTATTTATTACTATTATTTTTATTCGCAACAATGAACAATTTTTTTAAATAGCTAAGCAATCACCTTTCATACATTAATATGTTTGCAGCAGTGAATTATATTAATAATAAAATTTGAAAAAAAATTATATTTTCTAATGCTTCAAAAGATCGATTATTTTCGTAAGAAATTACTATAAATGGCTTAACTTTGAAATTTCAAATAGGAAAAAAAATACTATTAAATTTTGCAAAATGTAGTTTATAAGCTCTTCAGTAACTTTTACAATTAAGTGCACTTATTAGTTATACGTATACTTTTGAAAAATGTAAGAACGATTTAAACATATATATCGCAACTTGTCTATGAGTGTGACATTATATCTGGCAGGTCTATGTAAACACTGAAGGAAAAAAAATTTCCCATTATTGCACGTTTCTATATGATCGCATGACAAGTTACTATAATCAGTAAAAAAAAACCGAGTTTCTAACAATGCTTATTTCCCTGGACTTCCGGAGAAATAATAGAAACTCGGTTTTTTTTAATTGATCGAAGTAGTGATTATGCCCGTCGTGACATCATATAAAATAACTGGTCTTAGAATTTGAAACTTGGTGTGACAAATAAATATTTACTATATAAAATATATAGTGTGTGCTTATTTGTCACGTCAAATAATTGGTCACATCCCAGTGCCAAATGAAAGAGCTACCTTAATAGACTTAATTTGTGTTAACAAAATTAACTCTGTAGTACAAAAATAGCATATTATAATATTAGATATATACCTTATTTCACCACTATATACAGTGAAATAATCAGGTAGATAGATCTCTGGCCTGCTGGGACCATTCGGGCCCCAGACGACCAAGGATTTGCCTCTAGTTCCCGCCGTTGCAAGAAATAAAATAGTACTTATTACCACAGGTTATTATACAATAATAAGACAAATTCGGACTTATTTTAATATAAAAACCTGTGAAATAGTATGAAATCCTTTCCGTCAGTTTATACGTCACACCTGCCAGGCAAACTTGTTATCCGGCATTAGAGCTGGGATCCGTGAATATCTACGGTTAAAATGAATATTCAGTTAAAAGCAGGATTGGGTTATACTGTATTAGATATAAATATTCAATGAATATTCAAGTTTCTAAAATTCGTGAATATTCAATTCTTTTACGGGTAGTTATGAATATCATAAATCTAGACATTCATTCAATACTATTCATGGACAACTAAAACCTGTGAATATTTATTGAATAGTCATGATGAATATTCAAAGGATAGCTCTATCTGGCATCGTGTTTTTGTTATCATTCTGCCAATCTATCAAATCATGCCAGACAAGAAAATGTTTAAATAACAAATGATGCGATTCGAATATCTGAATCCAATTTGACATATGTTGTATCCGTTATCCGTCAATATAGTTTACATGTTTATTGCTTTTATTACAATGTATTACTACAAGTAGAGGAAATTCGTAATGTATATTTATTTATTACCGCGAAATAACGGGCATGAGGTTTGGCCCGAATTAAACTTAATTTAGGCCGAAATTTGTAATCTCACCCCTGCGCGTTATTTCGCGACAATACGGTACAAAGCAAATAAATAGTATTTATTGTAAAACAAGTTCGCACAAATTCGCAAATTTTATATAGCTAATTCTTATTTGAGAGGATAAATATTTGATATTTTTTTTTCAAAAATATATTTTTTTGAATACAGTAATTCTTTTTCAATTTTAATAAGTTGCCAACACCGCTGAAGCTAGGAGTTGGGTTACCGGGATTGCCAAGTATATTTGCCAATTTAGATGAAATTGGAAATTTCTTCGAATATAAATCCCACCACATTAGAAACTTTTTGCAATTGATTTCTGATACTTTGAAGTATTTTCGGTTTCATCTGCTACTTGCAAATAGTGTTGGCAGGCGAAACTATTTTTGGCAAATGGCGAAAGACGAAACTAAACCCGGCGAAAGACGAAACCTGGCGA